TTGTGTGCAGGGGGCATGCGCAGTGCCCTGCTTTTGCTCCCGGCTCTTCAGAAGTGGCAGTTGGGTTTTTGGTCTTTTTGTATCTTTTTGTCCATAATTTGCCCCAACTGTACACGCACACAGTTATTTTTAGTCCCTTTTAGTTTCTTTGTGTTTTGTTGCTCAAGGAGACGTTTGTCCAGATGTAAGCACTGCAGCAAAGGGTCCCAGGTCCCAGGTCCCAGCCCGTCTCATTCTGACCTCCCATCCCCTCCCCTCCCCTCCCCTGCCCCGTGCACCCCCAGTTAACATCACTGCTACACTGGGCACGTGGACAAGTGGCAACAGCAGCTCTCACAGCAAATGCTGGTATTTATTTCCTTAGCAGTCTTCCTCATTAGATCACTTATTTCTTGAGGACGAGGACCATTCAGCCATCCCGAAGTCCCAGAATCAGGTCCTGGCACTTACAGCCAAGACACGCGTGTTTCTCGCTTGCTGTGTTTCTGCCAGACTTGGCACAGAGCTTCACCCAATTCTGGTTCCTTACAGATCAGGTCAACTGAACGCACGCATTTTTTCTAAGGGTCATTGTTTACATGCCGGGGCCCTGTGTTGGCACGCTCCTGGAGCAGTTTTATTTGCTATAAGATGGAAACGGTTGTGGTAAGTATTGCTATTTTTAAAATAAAACGAGAGAGTAAAATACGGCTAAACATATTTGGGGAAAAAAACCCCAAAACAAAGGTTCAAATCGCATTTTGAGTGGAATGGCCAGAATAATTAAAGCTGCATCATTTCTGTGAAAAGTCATTCATCGTTGAAAACATCCAACGTACTCCCAGTACTTCAAACAATTGATTAAAATAAAATAGATACCAAGCCTCTCATTGTACCTATTTTAATAACAGAATCAGAACGGGCGTAAACTGTTTCAAGGAAAGAGGTGTTGGTGGGTCACGCCTGTCAGAATGTTCTGGGGGATTCATGGAATCCCGGGGGCCCTGTTGCCGATGGGCAGGGTGGCAGGTGATGCCAGCCGGAAGCTGAGATTAAAGTGCATGACTGAGCCCTCCACTGATTTTTCAGGAAAATTCCTTAACAGACAATGGGAAAATCATTCATTTTCTTCCTTGAGCAAATGTGGGACAGCCCCGGGAGCGTGCAGACCAGAGGGAGGGGAAGAATTCCTGGGCCTGTGGACGGTCATGGAGACCAGCTTTCAGAGCACCCATGGCGAGTGCAGAATTGAGACAACAAATGGTCATTTGGTCAACGTGGGACTGTCTCTTCCTAGAGCTGGCTGAGCTGGTTGGTTGTCCATTGCACTGCTGCAAACCAAGGAAAACCTGCGAACACCTCTGCCTCCCGGGGCCTCTAGCTGGAGAATGAGGGGGGAAGGAGGCTGCACAGGTGAAATTCTCCTCTCAAGGTCTTGAGCGCCGCCAGTGAGGGCAGCTGGGCCCTACATGGTGCTCTTCCAACGCTGTCAGAGCAAGGGATATCAGATTCCTTAACAACATGGGCATCTCAGCCTCAGCAAAGTCTCTCAGGCCCATTATCTTCTCACTCAGACACAGAGAGGGCCAGGAACGGGCCCTGCATGCTGCTTTAAAATTCTAGGGTCTCCGATAAGGGATTAATATCCAACATACATAAACAGCTCGTAGAATTCAACATCAAAAAAAAAAAAAGAAAGAAAACAAACAACCTGATTGAAAAATGGGCAGAAGAACTGAATAGACGTTTTTCCAAAGAGGAAATGCAGATAGCCAACAGGCACATGAAAAGATGCTCAACATCGCTTATCATCAGGGACATGCAAATTAAAACCGCATTCTCACACCTGTCAGAATGGCTATCATCAAAAAGATGATACCAGCATTTCACAAAGAAATGTTGGTGAGGATGTGAAGAAAAGGGAACCCTCATACACCATTGGTGGGAATGCAAATTTGTATAGCAAGTGTGGAAAACAGCACGGAGGTTTCTCAAAACGCTAAAAATAGAACTATCATGTGACCCAGCAATTCCACACTTGGGTATATATCCAAAAAAAGAAAAGCACTAATTTGTAAAGATACATGCACCCCAATGTTCATAGCAGCATTATTTACAGTAGTCAAGACATGGAAGCAACCTCAGTGTCTATCAACAGATGGATGGATAAAGAAGGTGTGGTGTATTCATATACAATGGAACACTACTCGGCCATAAAAAGAATGAAATTTGCAGCAACATGGATGGACTTGGCATTATGCTAAGTAAGATAAGTCAGACAGAGAAAGACAAATACCGTATGGTATCACTTATATATGCAATCTAAAAATTACAACAAACTAGTGAATATAACAAAAAAGAAACAGACTCACAGAAATAGAGAACAAACTAGTGGTTAACAGTAGGGAGAGGGAAGGGGGAGGGACAACAAGTGGGTAGGGGATTAGGAGGTACAAGTTATTAGGTATAAAATAACCTAAAGGATATATTGTACAGCACAGGGAATACAGCCACTATTTTATACTAACTATAAATGGAGTATAACCTTTAAAAATTGTGCATCACTGTACAGTACACCTGTAACGTATAATACTGCGCAGCAACTGTACTCCAATAAAAAATTCTCTGGTCTTAATAGCCATCAGGAAAACGTGAAGCAAATGCAAGAGATCACCCCCGTCAAGACGGCTAGAATCTTAAAGACAGATAGTAACAAGTGTTGGCGAGGATGAGTATGTGGAGAAACGGGAACCCTCCTATGCTGCTGGTAGGAATGTACGGTGGTGCAGCCACTGCGGAAAACAGCCTGGCAGCTCCTCAAAGAGTTAAACATAAGAGTTACCATATGAGCCAGCTATTATACTCCTGGATACAGACCCAAGAGAAAGGAAAACATATGTCCTCACAAAAGCCTGTATATAAATGTCCTTAGCAGCTCAAGTCACAATAGTCAAAAAGTGAAAACAGTCCCGGTGTCCACTGAGGGATGAATGGATGAACAAATTGTGCTCTGTCCATTCGAGGGAATATTATTCAACCACAAAAGGAGCGAAGCCCTGACACCCGCCACAATGTGGATGATCCTTGAAAACCTTCTGCCAAGTGAAAGAAGCCAGACAAAAAGGACCACATATGGTATGATTTCATTTCTATGAAAAGTCCGGGATTGGTAAATGCATAGCGACAGAAAGTAGATCGCTGGTTGCCAGGAGGAGGTTCGGGGGAGGGGGATTGAGAAGTGATGCTATGAGGAGGGGGATAATGAAAATGTTCTGAAATTCACTGTGATGATAGATGCACAGCTCTGTTGAATATACTAAAAGTCCTTGAATTGTATACCTTGAAATGGTGAACTGTTTAAAGAATCCATAGGTCTGGCTGTGACGAGAACTCTCTCACATAAAATGAGGTTTGGTGCTCCACGTCAGCTGTAGGAAAAAACGTGGTGGAGGCCAATATGGAGAGATTTGCCCAAGAAGCAGCTTTGGAAATGCCCAGGAGTTTCCCAGCATGGTGCAGGCTCCAAGAACGCTTCGTGGGTGAGGTCTCTCTTTGGGGTGCATTTCTGACCCATGCATTGGGACTGCTCCTCTGGGACTGGGGTGGGCTTGCACTCGGCCGTCCACACTACTATGGCCAGGTGCTCTCATCTTCATGGGTGTGCGCTCCAAGGTTCCTGGTGCGCCCTCACGAGTTCCACTCCAGCTCAGTGGCACCATCTGTGCTCAGGTGACAAATGCCAAACTGATGCCCCTGCTGGGGTCCAGCCTTCACCCTTGACCTCGTAGCTCTGAGGCCCAGTTGTGAGATGCTGCTTCTAAGACAGAAACTTCCAGGCAAGTGGCATGGGCTTCCCGGCATCAGAAGGAAGCAGAGTGACACTGACGTGGAGGAACTGGACCACGTCCCCTTTGCCTCCTTATGGAGCAGAGTGAGACGAACTGCTTTCTCGGAGCCTTTCTCGCTCACCCTGTGGGCTGGGTAAGCAGACATTGGATGCTATCCAGCAGCCGCAGTCCTGAGGCCACCCCCATGCAGCAGGTGTGCTGGAGGTTCCTCTGGAGTCCCCACTATTATCAAGCCTCCCGATGCAGTCAGGGTCACCCTGAAAGCTCAGTGCGCTCATCCTTATGGTGTTAGGGGTGTCCGTGGTCAGGCAGCAGTCGCAGTAAGTTGGAACACAAACCTCTCTCCCACGTGGAGCAGGCTGCAGACAGCTGGGGGCGCTGGGGGCATGTGGGGAGGAATCAGGGCGAGGGGGAGGGACACAGGACGATGTGGGCCTGGTCATGGACTGGAGGAGGGGGTGTCTCACCCCTCTGGCTCCTTCAGAGAGGGCAGGAGAGCATAGAGGTCATGGGGTGCTGGGGAAAGCACTGGCAGGGAGTCAGGGACCAGGCTCTAGGCACCGCCCCTTGACCTCCTTGCTCCTTGCCTACTACTGGGCGACGACCCACCCGATCTTACTCCCTGCTGTTGAAAGGGACGGATAAGGGCACACGTGATGGTGGCAACATCTGCTGTGGCTGCTGCCTGGCCGCTCTGCGGGCAGAGCACGCCACCCTCACTCCAGGTGGACAGTCAGGCTCTGGTCTGGGTCGGGCCCCAGTGCTAACACTGCGGCCCAGTCACCCCAACTCTGCACCTGTCTCCTCCACGACAGAACCTGGGGGCTTCAATGCGCCTTAGAACACGTGTGCTGTGGGACCCCAGCCAACCCGGCAGGACCGAGGAGGACCCTGGACTGTCATCGTCAGGTTCACGGGGACCCTGCCCACCGTAAGCACCACCTGAGTCCTGGAGGCTGCTGTGGCGGGTCCAGAGTCTGGAGGAGGGGCGTGGTAGTGGGTGGGGCCAGGCATGGGGCGGGCCTTTGAGGGGTGGGGCCTGGAAACCTACCTGAACAAGTTTCTGCTGAGGTTTGGAGGCGCCTTGAGCATGAAAGGTCTGAAGCTGGATTTTGCAGGGGTGGAGCTGTCTGGGAGTGGGGCTACCTGGGGCTGGAGCTGGCCCCATCCCCCCAAATCCATAGGACTAGCCCAAGGTCAGGACCTGAGATAAGGTCCCCCGTGGCTGGGCCCTGACAGCCTTTTCCAGTTAGCTTCGGGTGCCTGGCCTTGACTGACCTGTGAGTTGCCGCAGCTTGGAACGTGAGGGGCTGACTTTGGGGCTTCCTAGGGTCAGGACTCCAGCTTTGGTCTAGAACCTTCCATCAGAACCCCAGCCTTACTCTCTCGCAGCATTCTAGATCCCCATGCATTCAGCCAGTCGTTCAACAAACATTTGTGGCCATGGAGGCTGGGGACACAGCTCTAGACAAGATACACTCAATCCCGGCCCTGGGCTCTTACCTTCTAGGGAGAGACAGGCAATAAGGAGAAAGGGTGAGGAAGGAAGGGACATGTCTGGGAGAGAAGGAAGAGCTCTGAGGCCTGGGGGCTGGAGAAGTGGCCCCGTAGCTGACAGACCAGGATCTCCTGACTCCCAGGAGCTAGGCAGGAAGGTGAGCACCCTTGGACTCTCAGACGCACATTTTGCTGGGAAGCGCCCGGGTCCCTGGAATCCTAGGCCTGAAGACACCCTGCACTCCCAGGCTTGACGCCAGAACGCAGATAAGGACTTCCTGCCAGAGGCTTTAGGAGAGGAAACAGGAGCGTTTACTGGTGTTCTTGCCGGTCACTTGCCTTTATTACATTCTTCAGTCACATGGACAGTCCGCTCCTCAGTCCCGAAATGGCTGCCGCAGTGTGCTTGTGACCGGCTCCAGCTGTGGGAGAGTGTGGCCACACCTGGAGGCCCTGCCCAAGCAGGGCAGGGAGCAGGGTGGGCTCAGATGCTGTCTCCTGCATTTTCACTTGGAGATGTTAGACCAGCATTAAAAGGAGGTGCTTAAGAAGAAAGCACAGCTCTCTGGGACCATCACCCACCTGACAACGATTGTTTTCACTCCTTAGCTCCTGTTCTTTCCCTTCCAGCTATGTGCCCCAGCTCAGCTGCACAGGCTGGGGCTTCCAGCACGAATAAAATGCTGTTCCCTATTCTGGGATGATGGCTTGGCCCAGGGAGGGGACACACAGATGAACAGATCTTGGTGGGCTCCCTCAGGGACCAGGCTGTGCAGGAGTTGGTCCAACTGGAGGTTCAAGATGTCCTGGAAGAGACACACTGTGCTCAGACTTCAAGAACAGTTGAGAGCTCGTCAGATGAGAGAGATGGAAAAGCATTTGGGGCAAAGGGGATACCGTGAACAAAACATGGAAACAGCGTTAGAGTCCAGGCATCATTTACTCATTTGGAGTGAGGAAAGCAGGGCAGGCAGGGTCTTGACCCGAACAAGGCAGTATGAGGCTGCTTCTGAAGGGCACCCCCAGGGCAGCACCTGTCTCTGTTTGCCACGTGGGAATTTGGCCCAGTGTTAGCTGATCTAAAGATTAAGTTTCTCTAAAGAGAAACTACATGGGCTTCCCTGGTGGCGCAGTGGTTGAGAGTCCACCTGCCAATGCAGGGGACGTGGGTTCGTGCCCCAGTCTGGGAGGATCCCACAGGCTGCGGAGCGGCTGGGCCCATGAGCCATGGCCGCTGAGCCTGCACGTCCAGAGCCTGTGCTCCGCAGCGGGAGAGGCCACGACAGTGAGAGGCCCGCGTACCGCAAAAAATAAAAAAATAAAGAGAAACTACAAATCTGGACATTTATGTGAAATCTCTAGACTTTTAAATGTTACCCGACAGTTAGAATTAAAAATAAAATGTAGGCCAACCAAACCATGTCTTCAGGTGAAACTTACAGTCTGGGCAACCTTGCAGCCTGAATCTTGTCTTTGCATTGAGAATTGCAATTATAGTACACGTGCAGTTTTTTCCCACTTAACATGTTATGAATATTTTCCATGTTTCTGTAATCTTTTAGAAGCCATTTACAGTGATGACATGATGTTCTGGACATGTCATGATTTGCTTTACATTTTCCTCCTATTAGAAACCAAGGTTTCGGGGAGGAGTTTTAGACCCATTCTCACCCTGGTTTATCGTTTCGTTTTCCTTAGGTGGGTAGTACAGAGATGGAACGGTGGAGGAATGTCAGATGTACCTTACCTGCCCGCCTCCTGAGAGCCTCAGAGATCTTGGGATTTCAGTGCAAGAAGGGACTTAAGGATCATAGGTGCCCATTCTTTTGTTTTTCAGGTGAGGCAACTCAGGCCTTGTTCAAGGTCCCAAGGCAAGTGTATAATAATCCCTTTATGGTGAAAATGACCAGATTTCACTGAAATACATTAAAGAAAAGTTAAACTGTCATTTTTTTCTGTACTGGAACTGCACTGAATCTATAGACAATTTTGGGGAGAATGAACACCTTTATGATATTGAGTCTTTTATTCCAAACATGCTGCATAAAGACACATTTTTGTTGTATTTACTCATAGGTTATTTAAGCATATGTATATATCTCTGTTTGTTTGTTTTTGTTGCTATTATAAATGGCACCTGTAAAATTTGTGTTTTGTAACAAATTCTTGCGGCTTTATTAGAAATGTAGTTGAGTTTTGTGTATTGGTTTTGTGTCCACATACCTTACTTAACTCTCTTATTAATAATTTCCACAGGTCGTTTTTGGATTTTGAGACAATATTTTCATCCACAACTAATAACAATTTTCTCTCTCCCTTTCTTCTTTTATATTTCTTTTTCATGTCTTGTTGCATAGGTTAGGACCGTGAGTTTGATGTTACATAGAAGTGTATGGTACTTGATCTTAAAAGGAATTCTTTCAGCACTGCTCCATTAAGTATGATGATTTTTGTAGGTGTTTCTGATAGATGCTGTTTATCATATTAAAGAAGTTCTCTTCTATTCCTGTTTTACTAAGTTTTTTTAAACCATGATTGAATATTGAATTTTATTGACTGCTTATTTTTGTCATTTATTAAGACCCTCATTTTGTTTTTCTCCTTTGATCTCTTATTGTGGTAAATTACATTAATAGATTTTCTAAACCAATCTTGTATCACTGAGATAAACCTAGCTTAAATGTGACTTATTACTAAATATTTAGGACTCTAAATTTCCTTTTAAGTGTTGTATTACTGTGTCTTAGTTAACTTGTGTAACAAAAAGCCACAGATGAGTGGCTTAAATAACAGAAATTTATTTCTCACAGTTCTGGAGGCCAGCAAATTTGGTTCCCAGTGAGCGTTTTCTTCCTGGTTTGCAGATGGCTGCTTTCTTGTTGTGTCCTCATATGGTGGAGAGAGAAAGAGCTCTGGTCTCTTCCTCTTACAGGGTTGCAAATCCCATCGTGGGGCTCCACTCTCATTATCTCATCTAAAAACCTAATTACCTCCCAAAGGCCCATCTCTAATCACACTGGGGGTTAGGGCTTCAACATATACATTTGAGAGAGACACAAACGTTCAGTCATGCTGCATCTGATAATTTGTGATATGGAATCTTTTTTAAAAAAATAATCACGAATTGGGACTTCCCTGGTGGTGCAGTGCTTAAGAATCTGCCTGCCGATGCAGGGGACACAGGTTCAGTCTCTGGTCCAGGAAGATCCCACGTGCCACGGAACAACTAAGCCCGTGCACCACAGCTACTGAGCCTGTGCTCTAGAGCCTGCGAGCCACAACTACTGAAGCCCGCATGCCTAGAGCCCATGCTCCACAACAACAGAAGCCACTGCAATGTGAAGGCTGCACACCTCAACAAAGAGTAGCCCCTGCTCTCTGCAACTAGAGAAGAGCCCCTGTGCAACAATGAAGACCCAACACAGCCAAAAAAATAAATTAAAAATTTTAAAAAGTCACCAATTTCTAGGTATTTTAAAGATTCCACTATGTTTTTTTTCCTTGACTTGTGTGTCCTTTAGATGCGTGTTTTCTCATTTGCAAACACATGGGTTTTTTTCTGGTTGTCTTTTTGCTACTGATTTCTAATTTAAGTGCATTGAGATCAGAGAATGTAGTCCGTAGGCCCCAAACTGGGTGAGGCCAGCATTATGGTCTAGTGCATAATTAATTTTTGTAAATGTCCCATGTGTATTTACAAAGCATGTACATTTCTCTGTTGTCAAGTATAACAGTTTATAAATATCCATTAGATACATTTTAAAATTTACTCTTCAATATTTCTATATTCACCTGATTTTTGTCTTCCTGATTTACAAGTACTGAAAGACAAGTATTAAAATCTCTCACTTTTTGGTGGATTTATCGATTTCTTCTTAAAACCCTGTTAAGTTTTGTTTTGTATTTTGAAGCTCTGTTACTGGGTGTATGAAATTTTAGAATCAAATTTTAGAACCGTTATCACCCCTTATATAGTGATCCTTGTTACCTCTGTGATGCTTTTTGCTTTAAAGTCTGTTATGTTTGATATTAATATTGCTACATCATCTTTTTGGGGGTATGTATAGCTTGGTATATGTTTTTCCATTCTTTGATTTTCATTCTTTCTGTGTCCTTACATTTGGGAGGATCTCTATTAAACAGTATAATTAGTATCTTTATCTTCCTCCCAAATAATGCATGGATCTCAACTCACTTTCAGTTTAATCACAGCTTCCAGTTCATGTGCTATTAACATGCAGTTTTTTAGCTTTATTCTGTCCCCCCTCCCAACTTTAGATGTTGTTGTTTTGTTTCATGTAGTCAACATTTGATTAAATTTACCAACATATTTATTATTTCATATTATATCCCAAATCTTACTTCTAGAATAATTTTTCTTCTGTTTGAGGTTCATCCTGTAGAATTTCCTTCGGTTAATGGAATGTCGATTTTAAACTCTCTCAATTTTTGATTATCTGAAAATGTCTTTACTTAGTTTATGTCCTTGAAAGATACTTTTTCCAGGTATAAAGTTCTAGGTTTGACAGTTGTATTGTCTTAATACAGTGAAGATATCTGTATTCGTTTCTCACTGCTGTTGTAACAAATTATCTTAGTGGCTTAAAACAACACACGTTTATTTTCTCATAGTTCTAGAGGTCAGATGTCTGAAATCAGGCTCGTGGGCTAAACTCAGGGTGTTGGCAGGGATGTGTCCCTTCTGGAGGCTCTAGGAGAGAATCCGTTCTTTGCCTCCTCCAGCTTCTAGAGGCCGCTGGTATTCACTGACTTGTGGCCACATCACTCCAGTCTCTGCCTTCTTCTGTCCTGTAGTCATATCCCCTCTGCCTCCCTCAAATCTCTTGAATACATTGGACCCACTGAGATGATCTAGGATAATCTCCCCATCTCAACATCTTTAACTTGATCATATTCAGAGAGTTCCTTTTACCATGAAAGGCCACATGTTCATGGGTTCTGGGGATTCAGAAGTTGACCTTTTTAGGGATTATGCAATTTCCTACATTATTCCACTCACTTCCGGGTTTCATTTTTGTCACCAAGAAGACAGCGGTTAATAAAATTCCTGGTCTCATGATCTTTTTCTTTGGATGCTTTTAAAATTTGCCGTAGCTGACATTTTACTATGATGTGTCAGTTGTGAGTTTATTTTGTTTATCTTTCTTGTTGTGTTTTTAAAAATCCATTATCTCTTTGAGTATTTTATCTTCTCCATTTCTTCTGTTATCTTCCCTTGACCCTCAGTTAAGCTGAATGTTAGACGTTCCACTCTTTCTTCTGTGCCCTTCAGTGTTTCTTTCTATTTACATTTCCTTTCTCTGGGCTGCACTCTGGGTAATTTCTTCACTAAGTTTTTCTTCAGCTATGTCTAATAAGCTGTTTAATACATCCATCCATTTCTATCTTCTACTTTAAAAATGATCATACGGTAAAATTTACTTTTATTGAAGAGGATGCCCAGTTCTATGAATTTTAACACACGTATAGATTCATGTAACCACCGCCACAATCAGAACAGTCCCATTACCCCACAAACTCCCTCCTGCTGTTCCTTTATAGTCATGCTCTGGACCTACCTCTGATCCGTTTTCCATCACTTTAATTTTGTCATTTATAGAATGTCCTATCAATGAAGCTGTATAGCAAGTAACCTTTTTAGACTAGCTTCTTTAACTCACCACAATATCTTTGAGAATCATTGAAATTATTGCAAGTTCTTCCTTTTTATTTTTGGCCAGTATCCACTGTCTGGATGTTCCGGAGCTTGTCCATCCATTCACCTATCGAGGGACATTTTAGTTGTTTCCAGTTTGGACAATTATGAGAAGAGCTTCCATAAGCATTTGCATGTAAGTTTTGTGTGCACGTAAGTTTTCTATTCTCTAGAGTAAATATCCAAGAATGGGATTTCTGGGTCATATGGTAAGTGTATGTTTGACTTTTAAAGAAACGGCTAAAATGTTTCAGAGTAGGCGTATCATTTTGCATTCCCACCAACAACATGTGTATTGTCAGTATTTAAAAATTTTTGTTGTTCTGATAGGTGCATAGTGGTATCTTATTGCAGTTTTAAAAGGTGAAAGACTTACATGATCTGAAGAGAAACCAGAGGATTCATCACCATGGTTTTAGTTTGTATTTCCTTACTGGTGAATGGTGTTGAATAACTTTTATGAGTTTACTTCCTATCTGTATACCTTCTTTGGTGAAGTGACCATTCAAGTCTTTTGCACATATTTTAATTTAGTTGTTTGCTTTCTTTCTATTGAGTTTTGAAAGTTCTTTATATATTCTGGATACAAGTCCTTTGTTGGATATATGATTTGTAAATATTTCTTCTCAGTCTATAGTTTGTCATTTTATTTTTTTAAGAGTGTCATTCTCAGAGCAAATGTTTTTACTTTTACTGAAGTCCAATTTCTCATTTTTTTATTTAATGATTATGCTTTCGGTGTCATGTCTAAGAACTCTTTGTCTAACTTCAAGTCACAAAGAGTTTCGCATATATTTTTTAATGAAAGTGTCAAAGTTTTATGTGTTATGTTTAGGTCTACAATCCACATTGAGTTAATTTTTGTATAAAGTATGAACTTTTGTTTGAAGTTTATTTTTTTGCACATGGATGTTCCAGCACCACTTGTTGAAAAGACTAGCCTTTCTCCATTGGATCTTTCTGCACCTCTGTTAAAAAATCACTTGGTCATAATTGATGTGTATGTATTTCTGGGATTTCTATTATGTTTCATTGATCTGTGTCACCATTCCTTAGGCAATATCATATTGTCTTGATTATTATAGTTTTGTAGTAATTGTAAAATTGGGTAGTACAATTTGTCCAACTTTATTCTTTTTTTTTTTTTTTTGCGGTACGCGGGCCTCTCACCGTTGTGGCCTCTCCCGTTGCGGCGCACAGGCTCCAGACGTGCAGGCTCAGCGGCCATGGCTCACGGGCCCAGCCATTCCGCGGCATGTGGGATCCTCCTGGACCAGGGCACGAACCCGCGTCTCCTGCATCGGCAGGCGGACTCTCAACCACTGCGCCACCAGGGAAGCCCTATTCTTTTTTTTAAAGTTATTTTTTGCTTTTTTAGTTCTGTTGCCTTTCAATATGAATATTAGAACAAATTTGTCTATATCTACAAAAATCACACGAGGATTTTGTTTGGAATTGCATTAAATCTATAGATCAGTTTGGGAGAATTGACATCTTTACTATGTTGAGTTCCAATTCATTAACATGTCATCTCTCTCTATTTATTTAGATTTTTTTTCATTCCTTTCATCCCCATTTCACAGTGTTCAGCATATAGATAGAGTACATTTTTGTTAGATTTATACCTAAGTATTTAACTTTTTTAGGAGTTATTGTAAATCATATCATTTAAAAATTTTTAGTTTACAGCTGTGCATTGCTAATATATAGAAATATGATTGATTTTTGCAGAGTGACCTTGTACCTTAAGACCTTGCTAAACCCAGTTAATAGTTCTAGGAGTTTTGGGGTTGTTTGTTTGTTTTTGTTGTTATTGTAGATTTATTTGGATTTTCTCTGCAGATAGTCATGTTGTCCGAGAATAGGGGAAGTTTTATTTCTTTCTTTCCAATCTGTATGCCTCTTATTTCTTTTTCTTGCCTGTTGTACTAGCTAAGATTTATACTATGATGTTGAATGGAGGTGGTGAGAGTGGATGTCCTTGCCTTGTTCACAATCTTTGGAGGAAAGTTGTTCACTATAAAATATAATGCTAGTTGTAAAATTTTTGTAGATACCCTTTATCAGATTAAGGAAATTCCTTTCTCTTTGTAGTTAGCTGAGAACTTTATCATGAACGGGTGTTGAATTTGTCAAATGCCTTTTCTGTATCACTTGAATTGATCATGTAGTTTTTACTTTTAGAATGTTGATATAGTGGATTCCACTGATTGATTTTTGAGTATTGAACCAACCTTGCATTCCCAGGATAAACCACACTGGGTGGTGGTGTATTATTCTTTTTATATATTCCTGAACTTTATTTGCTAATACTTTGTTGAGCCCTTTTGTGTTTATGTTTACGTAGGGTACTGCTCTGTAGTTTTCCTTTCTGGTGTGGTCTTTGTTTAGTTTTGATATTGGGGCAATGCTAACCCTATAAAATGTGTTGAGATGTATTCTCTCCTGTTTTATTTTTTGGGACATATTGTGTGTAATCGGTGTTATTTTTTCTTTAGAAGTTTGGTAAAATTAGCCAGTGAAGCCATCTGGGTCTGGGGATTTATTTGGGGGAAACAAATTAAACTATGAATTAAGTGTATTTAATAGTTATAAGGCTAATCGAGTTATCTGTTTCATCTTGGATACATTTTGGTCGTTTGCATCTTTCAAGGAATTTATTTCATCTAAGATGTGGAATATTGTACATAGGTTGTTCATAGTATTCCTTTGTTAGATTTTCAATGTCTAGGAATTCTTCTTTTTTCTATGTTAGTCTTACTAAAGGATCATCAATCTTATTGATCTTTTTAAAGACCCAACTTTTGGGTTTATTGAGTTTTCTCTTTTGTTTTTCTGTCCTTATCTTTTTTATGCCCTGTCTTCTGCTGCTTTTGGGTTTATTTTGCTCTTCTTTTTCTAGTTTCTTGGGAAAAAAAAGCTTAGATGACTGATTTGAGACTTTTCTTATATAAGCATTTAATACTATAAATTTCCTTCTAAGCATTGCTGTAGGTGCATCTCACAAATTTTGACATGTCGTATTTATTTTTTGTTCTGTTCAAAATGTCATTTTAGTTTTCCCTAAGACTTCTCCTTTGATTCATTAATTATTTCAAAGTATGTTGTTTAGTTTCCAAATGCATGGATGTTTTCTCTCTGTTATTAATTTTCAGTTTAATTGCATTATAGGAAAAACTTTGTATGATTTGAATTCTTTTAAGTTTGTTGATTTGTTCTATTATCCAGGACATGGTCTGTCTTGGTGAATGTGACCTTGAACACAATGTGTTTTCTACTCTGTTGGGTAGAATGTTTTAAATGTCTATTAGATTTAGATTTTAGTGGTATATTTCAGTTCTTTTCCCCCCTTGCTGATCTTCTATTAGTTCCATTATTGAGAGAGGAGTGTTGAAGTCTCCAAGTCTAACTGTAGATTTATCTGTTTCTGTTTTTCACTTCCGTAAGTTTTTGCTTCATGTGTTCTGAAACTCTGCTATTAGGTGCATAACACATTAAGGGTTGTTGTTATATTAGTGGTGAATTGATCCTTTTCATCATTATGAAGCGTCCCTTTTTATCCCAAATATTTTCTTTGCTCCAGAGTCTCCTTTGTCTGAAACTAATATAACTACTCGACACCTAAAGAGTTTTAAATTTTATTATATTTTTTTCTAGAAATTTTATGTAGACTTTTTCAAATCTCCTTGTTCATTATTTATAGGTCCTCCCCTCAATTACTTTTCAAGCTTCTCTTTTATTTCTTTAAACATATGAAACATGTTTCTATTATTTCTTATGTTTGATCATTTCAGTTTTGAAATCCGTCCAGGTTTAATTCCACTGTTCGTTATTTCTGCTGGCTTTTATTCTAGTGTTTCGTAATTTTTTACTGTGAGCTACTCATTCTCCTTAAAGCTTTATAGGAATTTTTGGAGTCTGGGTTTGAAGCTGCATCCACTATCATCTCCTCCAACAGCCTTGTTTGAGTGGATTCCACTTCCATTTTACAGATAAGAAAATTGAAACTCAGAACAGCTAAGTGACCTGCCCAAGGTCACCTACGCAGGAAGTGGCAGATAAGACTCGAACCAAGGGCTTCTGACTCTGAAGTCCATGTTCTTCCCCTGGTTTATCACACCAAATCTCTTGTTCATAGGAATCCTGCCTCTACTTCCACCCCAATACTCCTGCAGGTTCCTCTTCCTTCCCTTTGGTTTCGGATGGTGTGGCTAAACCCTGAGCTGCAGTCCTATAACACAAAGGTTACCTGCAGATGAACAGTGAGTACTACCTTTGTACATTTCTCTTAATTGCATAGACCATTCTTTTCTCCCATCGTCCTTTCTCAGGGTGGTTTGCTTTTGATCTGGGCTGATGTGAATGATCCTGCGTACTGGAGCCTGGCCAGACCCACTACAAAGCTGGTGCAATGTTTGGAGAGAAGGATGGTGGAAAAGCAACCATCCGAAGGAGGCTTTGTCATGTGCCTTTTCAGACTCCCTGCATCACTTCCCTTCTCTATCCCTGGTGATACCCAAACTCCACACCCTGGTTTGTGGGATGCAGGTGTCTTGATAGCTCCCTGGTGGTACCCAAACTCCATGCCACAGTTTTTAGGATTCGGGGAGAGTCCTGATGATGCTACCTGATGATGGGGAAATTTTTAAGTTAAGGAGACATTTATATAATTAAAAAAAAATTTTTTTAAGTGAACAATTCAACAGCCTTCCATACACCCGCAACGTTGTATGACCACCACTGTCTTCATCAGCCTAAAAGGAAACCTGCACACACTGAGTAATTGCTCCTAATTCTCTCCCACCCCCATCACCGGGTGGACTTTGAAGAGTGGGAAACCGGAGATGAGCCACTTCAAGGTGTGGCTCCTGCCCAGACACCTGGTGTGTTTCTGCATCATGTCGTCCTCTCCTGGGCACTTTGCCTTGCTCCACTCCCTTGTCCCTCACTTCTGCCACCCTCGTTTGCACCTCCTTCATCAAGGGACCGTAGCGGGGTCCTCCCTCTGGCTCCTCTTTCTAGAGTAGGGCTTCTCGTACTTTAGTGTGCAGAGGAACTCCATGGGGATCTTGTCTCAGTGATTCTGGTTCAGTGGGTCCAGGTGGAACACTTCTAACAAGCCTCCAGGTGATGCT